GTTCCTAGTAGCGTCCTTGTTACTACAAGTAAGGCACTTGTTACTAGTAGCGTCCTTGTTACTACAAGTAAGGCACTTGTTACTAGTAGCTTCTTGTTCCTGCTAGTAAGGCACCTGTTACTAGTAGCGTGGCACTTGTTACTACTAGCTTCTTGTTACTACTAGTAAGGCACTAGAATGGCGGGCTATGAATGTGATTGAAGCTTGACGCTAGGAGCTGAAAGTAGGTGCCGGGCTGTCAGAAAATGGCGAGTTTCATGTCTGTCAACAGGCTCAAGTCCTTGGTGAGCTGCTACACTCAAATCATAGCATTCAGCGCTTTCCTCTTTGTCATTTTTCCAGTTTTTGCTTTTTCACGTTTCCCTTACTTTTCCAGGCCTCCATATGTTCGGATCTCTCTCTCTCTCTCTCTTCTCGACCTTTTTTCGCTACATGTCTTTGGCTTTCTTTGCCGCCTCCTTTTTCCGGGACAAGTTTTTGGGAGATTAAATAAACACCTTTTGCTACAAATGTGTGTTTGGGATATTGTTTGATAGAAAACCCCTTTAGAAATCTCGACATTCCAACATTTTTTTTCAGAAATCTCTACATCTTTGAGACGTTTCTCTAGAAATCTCTACCTTTCTTCTAGAAATCTACTTTCTCTTCTCAAATGTCTACGTTCTCTGTAGACCTTTCTCTAGAAGTCTTCAGTTTTGTTGCATTACATGCTAAAAACAAGGCACCGGTTCCAACAAGGAATGTTCAGACCATCGGAAGGTCCTTACCCTGTCAACTGTGTGGTGATGAGGCCCCAGCCGCCAACACTGTCAGAGAGGTGGTCGACTGCCTTATAGATGCATGCTCACCTTGAACATATTGCTCTCTTGTGGATTACATTGCTACATGACATGTCTGCCCCAAAATAGCAAAACTACATCTCTCACTGTCTGGCACACAAAAGCGATAGCTACCTGTCGAGTCTGAGAGCAAAACAAGCAGAGCGTAGGGCATCGCTAGCACCCGGCGATGAGCTGCTCTCCATTGCACAATCGCAACATTGCGAAGCCATGCAAAACAACTTTATGGATGTTGTTGAGGACATGTCGCCCAGGATCCTCGTGACATCTACCAAACGCCAAGTCAAGCTGCAGTCAAAGTGATCAAAGTTTGTCTCTTTTTGGTGGGGTTTTGCAAAGATACTGTGCCTAAAGTGCTGAATGAACCCAGTGAGTGATGCTAGAAGAGATGCTGCGCACCTTGGTTTGCCGGTTTGCCCTCCAGAAACCAGCGACTGCAAGCTGGAAGCACTTGTGACGTACTGATATCAGCCTCCGGAGCCATGTATCGAGGTGACCCGCCATTGTTCTTCTTGGTGATGTGCGTTCTCTCCTCCATACAGAAACAATTACATTTGCTTTCAAGCAGAAGCGCGTCTTCCTTTTTCGAAAACCTGGGCATCCCACCATCGACTCAGTCAGCCCAAAGTCGCAAAGCTTGAGGTTCAAGCTCAGGTCCAGGACGACGTTCAAGCTCTGACGAGGAAAGCAAATAATAAACAAGATGGAACCCACGAACCCGAATGCAAACACGTTCGAAAAACTACATATGTCCAAATGACACTCTTGTAGGACACTCTTGTGGGACACTCTTTTAGGACACTCTTGTGGGTCACTCTTCCTGGACACTCTTGTGAGACACTCTTGTAGGACACTCTTGTGGGACACTCTTATGGGACACTCTTGTAGGACACTCTTGTGGAACACTCTCGACACTCTTACAGGACACTCTTGTGGGTCACTCTTGTAGGACACACTTGTGGAACACTCTTACAGGACACTCTTGTGGGACACTCTTGTGGGACACTCTTGTAGGACACTCTTGCGGGACACTCTTGTAGGACACTCTTGTGGGTCACTCTTGTACGAAGCTCTTGCGGGGCATTGTTTTGGGACTCTCTTGTGGGACACTCTTATAGGACACTCTTGTGGGACACTCTTGTGGGACACTC